TATTTTAAAGTCGGGACACTTGTCTAGCATTTAACTGATGCTAAAACACTGTAATCAGTGTAGAGCTGTTGGGTTTATAAACACTGCGCCCTGTGGTGACGCAGGGCGAGTGGAAAGTGCTTTTCTCTGCCTGCACATTTTCTGTTTTCTCTTGAGACTGAAGGATCACTGACGTGCTGTTCTAGGAAAGGTTGTGAGAGTGTCTGTCACAGAAGTCAGGGTGGCTTTTGATGTGGCTCCACGCCCATCCATACCCCAGCCTCCTTCCCAGTTGGAGTTCTCACCTGACACCACCTCCTCCCCAGTGCACCTGCTTCATCATAAATACCACTGCCAAAGCAGTTGCTAATTCAAACACAATCTGCCGGTCAGGGAAAGGCGGCTTTTCATCTGGAGCTTTGGTTGGTCTGAAGCCATCGACATGCCTTTCAGATCAATCCATCCTGTACATCACCACAGCCGGCCCTTGCTTTGGGATCAATGTCAGGGTCATCGTCAGGGTCTTTGGAAGAACATGATCTATGCTTGTGCACAAGTTAGCAGCCCCTGTAAGGTGTCTGTCAACTGACTTCTGTTTCCCAAGTCAATTTTAAGGAGGAATATTTGTCTGCTCTGCCTGGCTTCGGTGTGTCTTGTTCCTGCTCGAAGCGTTTCCAGCGTAACTTATAACCTGTGGGCTAGCTTTAGTGCTCAGAAAGGCATTGTTTCTTCATCCTAGTCTATCGTTTCATAAAATAAAGATCTTACTATGCCTTCTACCCAGAGTGATGCCCCACTGGGCCAGGGAGCCCATTTCAGGAACTCTGCCCTTCAGGCCTGCCATTCTTGTGTTCTCTTTAACTCAGCTGAATTGGTACTACACACACACACACATATATACACACAAACACGCAATATGCACACGCACATATGCACATGCACACATATAAACATTTATACACACATACATATATACATACACACATGCACACACATGTACACACATACATACACACACATACACACATACGCATACACGCACATACAGTCACACACACACACACACACACACACACACACACACACACACACACTTGATTTAGAAGGAGCTAGTCCTGAATGTCTTGGAGAAAGGTTCCCTGTTGTTCCACCTCACTCTCCTGCTTTGCAGTAGACATAAGACATCTAGGCTCCGCGCTAGGCCAGCGTCCTGTGCTGGACAGGAGCTCCAGTAGTGTCTATGCAGGCATGTCAGCACATTTATGTGGGCACAGCAGCAGAGAGGTGTGGATTTCTTCAAAAAGATCTGTTCCATTAGCTGACTAGGATGTATCTTGAATTTCAAGCAACCAACCTAGAAATGAAACACTCTAAGGTGAGAACAGTTTTCCAGTCTACAGTGTAGGTTAAGTAGTGATTGAATCGCCAACAGGTTTTTTTTGTGTGTCTCATACAGATTTCCTCTTCAAGGGAATTAACTCTTTTTATGTGTTTATTAGGTATAAATTGAGCCGGGATTTAACTAACTGCTGTCATACACTATAATTCTGAAGTAATCTCTGTTTCCTAGGCAAGGTGTTTGGTTAGCAGGTCCCCGTTTATGAGTATACTGGACAGGACAGATTTTTCATAAAGGGAAAGGAATGGACATTGGAGGGGCTGGTTTTACATTAGAAAGTGTGTGAAGGAGTAAGCACATGAACCCTAGTGCCAGAACCCATTAGTCACGATGACCGTACAACAGAGGCAGCAGAACTGCAGTGAGCCAGAAAGATGGATGGGAGCCAGAGGGTGAGAGCGACTTCTGGCCTGGATCTCCCTTGAGGAGTCATTGGCAAGAAGTTCCTGGAGATGGTGGAGCCCAGGGGTCAGGCAGTCTCTGATTCTTGTGTCTAGTACATTAGATACTGAATTTATTTTCTTGACAATTAACAATCTTATTTCATCTTCTGGGCTCCACTTTTCAGTCCCAGACCTGAGCCTAATGGAGTGGGAGACCTTGATGTGGAAGGTGAATGGTGTTGAACGAACCCTAGCTGTAGATGTGGGTCACGGGACTGGGAATGCTTGCGAGAAACCAAACCTTTGTGCTTTGTCTTCTTAGGTATTTAAAATTAAGGTTCCAAACAGTACCTCTGTACCGCTCTGCCGCCTTTGTACTTATTTCCTAACTAGGCGGTGAGACTTTCAGAAAACTCCTGCATTGGCTGCTCGCTAGAGACGGTCTAGAATGAGTGATGGACACTCTGTCCCATGGTCTGTTGTCATTGGCTCATTACAGTTTTCTTTGGCTGGTAATCTGTGAATAAATACAAGAAAGTATCTCTGCATTTCATGGAGCCATGGGCACAGGTTGAGCCATCTACCCTACAATGCTGCGCTCTTTCATATGCTGCTTAAGTAAGTCAACGGAACCTCTTTATTCTGGCTTCCCATGCCCCCCCAGTTGTAAAGAGAGTGTGCTTCTTGAGGCACATACTGGAACTTCTGAACTTCCTGTCTGGATGGAATTTGGGGGGTGAGGATGGTGGTGAAATCCAAGTTCTTATCTACTTTACAGGAGAGTAAATAAGAGTGATAATAAATACTGGTAATTTCGGGGATAAGCTCTTAAAAGGGAACTGGGGTGATCTGGGACTATCTGGTAAGCTGTTTACTGCTAATAGGCTCCAGGCACTAGGGTAAAGATTCCTTGGGGAGCCACATTGTACTGCAGTCATGTGGCTGTGTTGTGTTAGCCTGGTCACCCCAGTTCACCTTCCTGAGCTCCAGGTCCCACATTTTTAGAAACAAGAGTTTGGGCGGCTTATTCTATAGCCTCTCACCATCTGTGCTAATCACGCAGGACAACCTTTCCACTGAGTTCCAGCTCCCCACCCCCATCCTCCAGGCCACCCTTGGTCCTCTCTACCAACCACTTCTAATCGAGTGTACTTAGAAATGTAGTTTCTACCTCTTGAAACAGTTCTGGGGCCCTTTTGGAGGTTTATCATTTATTGATTTTTTCTGGAGTTCTCAAGTCCTGGCCAACTATCTTCAAAGGCACTTGATTGGGTTCAGTGACAGGTGAGTAGAGATGTCAAGGAAAAGTCATGGTTCTGGGTGGCAAAGCTTCCCATCTCGGGAGTCCTGGCCTTCATCTTGTATGTGCAGGAGGCCGTGTGGCTGCCACTGTTGGAGGCTGCTCTAAGAGAGCCACAACCAGATGGAGACAGGGTTCCTCCCGGGCTGTGACAAGGAACGCAGGTGAAGGGTTTCTCCACCGTTTTTCTTGTCAGGGACCAGTGAATTATACCTCAGTTATCTTCATGAAAAGTGGCGATTTGAAGAGTAAAGAGCGTCACTTCCATCTACGCCATATAAGGGAATAACACTGAGGGGTTTTGTTGTTGTTGTTGTTTTTGTTTGTTTTTTAGTTTACCTACAGTTTCTGTAGTTCAGATATTATCATCTGAGTGGTTGTCCTGTTTATTTAACCATTCGCCAAGGGACTTGACAGTCTAGCCTTTGGATGCTATGACCATGTCCTCCCTGACATGGTGTAGTAAATCCCAGTAGAGGCGGGGAGGGGTTCTCACGGATAATTTTCTTCCCGTTTCTAGCAATTTTGTTTTTTTTTAATGGAACTTTTAGAAATTCTATCTTTGTCCTGGTTTTTGGTTGGATAGAGGTCAGAACATGAAGCTATTTTTCTCTATGTCTCTCTTTCTTTCTTAGACAAGGTCTCTCTACATAGCCCTGGATGTCCTGGGATTCACAATGTAGACCAGGCTAGCACTGAACTCACAGAGAGACCTGCTTGCCTCTGCCTGCGGAGTGCTCGGATCAAAGGCGTGTGCCACCATTTCCAGGACTTCTGTATCTCCATATCTCTCTTGATACGCTCTTCCTAAATGCTGCTTTCACTTGACACACTGGCATTCTAGACTTTTGTTGTTGTTGTTGTTCTAACGCCCTCTCCCTGGGCACTGCCTACCCCAGCCACACACCAGCTTGTTATGAGGTTCTTAGCCCCAATCTTATCCCCCACCTCCACAGGTAGAACAGATGCTGCTGGGGGGCTGAGCTTAGCCCCCTCATTTAGATGCAATTACCTTTCAGCCTATTAAAAAGGATTAGCCCAGGTTGTGTCCTCCTGCAACCTCCACGGCTGCTCCTCATCTCAGTCCTTTTGAGTTTCCCTCGGCTCTGAATCCCCAGACTCCATGAATGCCTCCAGTGTCTAGACACACAGCCAGAAATCTGAGTCTGCTCTCAGGGCCCTGCACTAGGTCCCCAGGAATCCCAATAATAACCTAATGACCTTTGGCCTGCACTGAGCACTGTCTGACATGGGCTTTTCGAGTGACAAAACACACAGAGGGTCAAGAGCAACTTCTCTAGACTGAGGCAGTACTCCTTGTTCCGAAATATAAGGTGCCTTCTCATCCTGCCCGTTGACTGAGACAGCCTCTGCACACAGTACCCACACAGGCCAGATAACATGCTGGGGAGCCAGCATGGCGTCTCTTGACATGCGCAAACACAGACACACACGTTAGACACACACAGGCAAAGATGCAATCTGTGCCCTTCAATTCCGGGCCTCTTGCAAATGAAGATCTTTTTGACTTCAGCCCTGGTGCTCGTCCACACGTCCAGTGCCTGTCAGTTTCCTTCAGTTTTATCTGATTCATCCTGGTGATGTCTTGACTTGAAAATCCTTGGCTCAGTGAGGTTAAGCAACCGGAGCCAGGTTCCCCTGCACCTGTCCACAAGTGACTGTAAAGGAGCGTGTGTAAAAATGACATCACATGCGGATTACAGTCCAGACTGGATCTAAGCAGTTTGTAATATTGGATTGCATGTGTGTGTGTACGTGTGAACTCAGAGCACTTGGGCTCTTCCTGGTTCTGACAGTGTGTCACAGCTATTTCCTCAAGCTGCGTGTCATCCGCTGTTATGAGAATTACTGATGAAATCTTACTTTTCATATCGCATGTCACTGATGACTGTGTTTTCTTGTGTTTCATTCTTTTTAGGAAAGTATGCCTCAGACACCTCCCTTTTCAGCAATGTTTGACAGCAGTGGCTACAATCGAAACCTCTACCAGTCTGCAGAGGACAGCTGCGGGGGCTTGTGTTACCATGACAACAACCTCCTTTCCGGATCTTTGGAGGCACTTATCCAACACTTAGTACCCAACGTGGATTACTATCCAGATGTAGGTATCAGTGTTCCTCTGAAACCCATTTTTGGTATGGCTTAGAAATTGCAGTATGAGCCGGGCGGTGGTGGCACATGCCTTTAATCCCAGCGCTCAGGAGGCAGAGGCAGGCGGATCTCTGTGAGTTCGAGGTCAGGCTGATCTAGAAGAGCTAGTTCCAGGACAGGCTCCAAAGCTACAGAGAAACCCTGTCTCAACAAACAAACAAACAAACAAACAAACAAACAAAGAACTTACAGTATGGTATACGGGCATACTATCTTTGCTGGGAAATTACTTTGGTCGCTAAGAATTTTTTCCAAGAAGAAATTATACAGTAATCTTGAGAGTTCTGAGACCACATTGAGCCTGGGGATGGGTCAGATGGGCAAAGTCTCCACATCTGATTTTTTTTTTTTTTAGGTTGTCCACCACACTAGGCAGTCTAAATGAAGAGATATCTGTAGACTTGATCCATGCTGATGTCTTGCTCTGTGAAAATGCAATTAAGGATAGCATTGGGTGCTTCTGTCATGTGACTTTAACGTACCTAGGGACAGTCCATAGAGAGAGATAAGTTACACACAGATGCAGTGATTTATAGATCAGACATCGGAGGTGTTGGCCTCACTTTTGCTTTCCCTTGACACGCTTGCATAGACAGCACTTTCTAACCTAGGAGGGCTGCTGTATTCTATCTCAGTCTTGGTTGTTCCGAGAGGCAAAAGGGGAGACCTATCTACTCACTGGTTCCTCTTAGTATCAGCAGTCTGGGCCAAGTGAGCACCCCTCCCCTCTTGTGTCTGTTGAAGGGGATTTAGAAGGACAAGAAGGTTGAGTTTAACAGGCAGCCATTTATTGATGGTGAGTTCCTGGAAATGCCTAGAGACCACATTTATTAGTTTTTATAAATACAATCATAACCTCGTGTTGCAGAGAAGAGCGTGCGCTTGCCAATGGTAATTCACCGTAATGTCCTTAACTGAGTTATCTCTGCCTGATTCATTACATAGCCTTTTCAAATATGTTCCCAGAGATGGAAAACTTGTTATCAAGAGTATAAGGAATCCCTTGTTCAGTACTGTAAGTGTTTATGAAGCACTAAAGGTGCTGAAGGAGGGCCGGGAAAGCCAACAACCCATGGAATTCCTCTTTTGATGGAGAACCTGAAGCTGTTAGGATAAATAAGCACCACGTCATCAGTGGTTGCTTGAGCAAAGCATAGAGTGCATATTGTGCTTTATCAGACTTCTTAGTCTTGAGCAAGCCAGGAGGTCAGTTGAAAGTCAGCCTTCAAACGTTGTAACACAAACACCGTGTGTGCTGCACGGAACACACTGGGCAGTTCTTGACTGAATGAGGGTAGGGTAGGGTTTCTGTTTCTCCCTTGTTATTTATTGGTTAAAATAGTATGTGGATACGTGTCCTTCTTCAATGTGGGGTAACCTATTTAAGCCAGCCTTGATTCTCGCTGGGCTGAATTTCATTCTTCTTGATTATACTGGAAAACGAATACATCCTGGCTCCCGGATGACAGATAAGAAAATGTCCTCTGGGCCATTTCGGGAGTCGAATTTATCCCGTGATTTTTAGTATGTTTCAAGGGGAAAGATAAAGTGGCGGTGGAGGGGACTTGGTATTTACCAGAACCCACAGCCTCTTAGCTCCAATGTATGAGGAGATCATAGTGTGCTGGGATGGCGCAAACTCAGAGAGGTGGTGACGAAGACGACTCTCTCTCTCTCTTGCTGCAGAGAACGTACATATTCACCTTCCTGCTCAGCTCTCGGTTATTCATGCATCCGTACGAGCTGATGGCCAAGGTTTGCCACCTGTGTGTTGAGCACCAGCGACTCAGTGAAGGGGACAGTGATAAGGTAACGCAGCATTTGAGTTTTAGGGGTTTTGTTGTTATTGTTGTTGTTTGGGGTTTTTTTTTTTCTTTTTTTGGATCTGCTAACTCTGGCTTAGATTTCATGGTGATGGTTTCCAAAAGTGACCCCCGTGTAGCCCCAGGCTGATGTGCCTAACTGGCACAATGGCCGGTGTGAAGGAATTGTGGGGTAGGCCTGCAGAAGTGGGCCAGTGATGGAACACTTGCCTCCTTTGTGTACAGCCCTAGGTTAGCTCCCTAGCACTGCAAAATACAATAAAACAAGGAGCAGTATAAAAGTTACAGAGGAAGCCGGGCGGTGGTGGTGCATGCCTTTAATCCCAGCACTCGGGAGGCAGAGGCAGGCGGATCTCTGTGAGTTTGAGGCCAGCCTGGTCTACAAGAGCTAGTTCCAGGACAGGAACAACAACAACAACAACAAAAAAGCTACGGAGAAACCCTGTCTCGAAAAATCCAAAAAAAAAAAAAAAAAAAAAAGTCACAGAGGACTGTCCTGCCATTGTTAACTATACTTGGCATTGCTATGGAGGGGGCTATAGCTGTTGCTTCTTCCCAGAGAACGCGCGCAGCGCCAGAAGTTAGTCAGTGACACAGTTATTTGGTTATTTATTTAACGCAGACCCTGGTGGTAGATATCTCTGATGTAGATTTCTTTTTCTCCCTAGAACCAGATGAGAAAAATTGCACCTAAAATTCTTCAACTCCTGACAGAGTGGACGGAAACGTTTCCTTATGACTTCCGGGACGAGAGAATGATGAGAAACCTAAAGGACCTGGCGCACAGGATGGCCAGCGGCGAGGAGGTTGGTCACGGGAATGTAGTGGAGCCAATGGGGTTTCCTGGGTGGGAAGTGGGGCTGAACCGACCCAGAACTCAGCTCTGTTTAACCAGCCCTCAACATAGCATATGTTGGCCTTTTTGGTATGTCACGTGGTGAACGATTATTCCATGCCCTTCAAAGGAGTGTGAGCTGGAGTTTTAGGTTCTTATTTCCAGCTGTGTTCATGCTAATTCGTGTGGCCAAGCGCATTTTGTTTTTATTCCACTTTGGTCTGCATTCTTCAAAGGTTTGACCCAGCTTACATGTTAATTCTTCTCTCTGTGTGTCTACCTACACTTACAGTAGCTATAACTAAATAGCATATTAATAACTCATTAGAAATAGACAGCCCAGACTATGGAGGGGGAATGCACATGTGCCGGTGTTGAGAGCGAGAGCATCTGGAAAGGGCGGCTGTGATTGGTCCATTCCAGATAAAAGGGAAATACAGTTGGTTACATCATTTACAGGGGAGGGAAAAAGCATTAGTGATTCCAGGCATTAGATGGAAAACGTAGAAATCTGGGGCTGGTAGAACATTCGCGTGGCATACATGAGCCCGTGTGATGGTGAATGCAATGAAAACAAGAGAAGACAAAGTCTTCTTAGGAGGGTTTCACATAGGAGGCCTCGCTTGCTCCTTTATGGTGTTCACAGCGCACACTCTGATCAAAGGGAGAGCACGAAGTGTTGTATAATTAACAAAAGTAATTCGTGGAACTGGGGTGTTGGGCTTGGGGGTGGCGTGCAGGAAACGATCCAAGTATTCTGGTGCCGAAAGTAGATTCAAGGCTAGGACCTGGAATAAGTGGAGGTTGAAAGCAGGTCTCTTAGGTCATCTTCCATAAATATCACCTCTGCCAACTGAGCCTTTTGATAGCAGGTGGTAAGCAGCTCCATCAGAGCCGAGGTATTTGAAGCAGGCCTGGAGGGCTAACTTTGTGTGTTGAGGCTTGCTGGGCAAGAATATGTTTGTAGTTTCCATGCGGCAGATAAGCGTCTGGGAGTAAGTTTGGCACGGTGTAACTCTGTCACCTAGAGAGAAGTAGCTGGAGTACCTGACAGGGCAGGGATGTCCTTTTCATTGACACACTGCCCCCTCCATGACAACTCCCTGGAGAAGCCTATCTCTCAGCTCCTTGCTGCACAGATAAGAGCTCAAGACACCGGTCCTGATTCACGGGAATGCTCACGCTGCCTTTTTCCTAAGCTGAGATCAGTGAAATTAGGAAAACCTGGCTGTTGAGAGCTCTGCGCTTAGTTGTCTTGTGTGGCATTCAACTCAGGGGCTTTCACTGTTGCTTTAAGCATCATGTGGACCTCCCAGCTGGTTGTGAGCGCACAGTGTTCTAGTCAGTTTTCCTGCCTTAGGTTCGTGCTGCTGTGAATGAACCACCACAAAAGGGAAAGTCTGCCAGGGTAGCATTGCTGCAGGCATTCTGTATGGGTGGCTGCTACTGGCCGCTTGGCAGGGCCAGGGTTGTCTCAGTGGCTTTGGTTTGTGTCCAAGATAGGTGCCATCCTAGGGCTGTTTCTGTATGAAGGTGAGGAGTCACAATCAAATTTTCATTTCCGTTCAGTTGTACAGAGCTATTGACACTGCCCGCTGATTGTTCTCTGTAGCTTTTTCGGAGAGAAATTAGATCATAACTGTTTCTTCCCAAAAGGAACACTTGATTTTTTTTTTTAACGGATAAAATGTAGTGATTTGAAAATGCCTTATTGCTGGCTGTTGGTCTTTCTTATCTGAAACCAGAGATGGTGATCCTTTCTGTTTGCCAACCAAGATCTGATCTTTATAAACAAGGTCAAGCCTCCAGGGATTGGGTGACATGGAGGAGAGGGTCAGACAGCCTTCTGACTCTGGCTTCTTGTTGGCATGTGTTACTAGCCTACTCTTCCTACACCAGAAAAGTCAGCTGGCTTTGACGGTGGCCTGAGAAAGATCTCCTAGGGAAACAAGGACTCCATCAAGTGGAGGCTGCGTCTGCCTTGACTGGCCAGGGCGTCACAGGAAGCCGCCTTTCCTTGGCTGCTTTTATCCAGACTTTAGGAACTGGGTCCACACATAACCGTTGCTCGAGTGGAGTGTGCTCTGCCTCGTCCATTAAATTGCTCGCTCCCTTTCCATCTCCAGAAACCATGACACTGAGTGGCTAATGTTGGTGCGGTAGAGGCTCTTGCTGCATTTATTGTCTTGGCGGTCTCCTTCCTATCACGTGTTTAAACCTCTCTCCTCAGAAAGACCTTTCACAGCTCCAGTCCCAGCCCCTCCCATTCTTGGCTTTTGTGTTTTTTGCTTCACGGTACTCTGGGACTTGTGCTAAATTGTGGCTCCGCTGGACTTTTGATGATGCTCTCTTCGTTCCCCATGACATCTTTGACTCCTGTCTGGATGCCTGGCATGTAGTTGGTTCTCAGAATATTTGAACGGATGAATGGATGGATGGATGAATGAAAGAAAGAAAGAAAAACGGAGCAGATAAACAAAGAAGTCAACTGCGAGAACGGGTAGACATCACTCCTCCCTGTGGAAGAAGCTTGGGTTTGAACCAGGGCCTGTTGCTTCTTGCCTCTGACTTCAGGGAAGGTTTTTGGCACTCAGTGAATCCAGGTGTGCCCTGTATATAATTTAGTCATGTTCCTTAGAATCTGCTAGGACAGTTCCCCCACATAATTTGGCTTAATATGCTTCTCCCTTGGGGATTTGCCCCAAATGGGGTGGTTTATTGGGGCTCGCCGGGAAGAATCATGAAATGAATCTAATGATTGAGTTCCATGACAAACGGCTGGAGTGGATAGAATGCGATTTTCTCTTCCTTAAGGGGCTGGTCTCTATGAGGACTTCTGTCTTTATTTGCCAGGTAATTACTGGCTCTGGCAACTGAAGTCATAAAAAAGAATAAGTACACATTTAGCAGTTTGTGACTCAGTGAAGAAGCACGCTTAACCACGCAGAACCTCACTCCTCAAATGGGATCAGATGAAAGCAAGAGACTGAAAAGGGTCCTAGTACCCCTCCCCCATCTTTCTCCCAGTACCCCTCCCCCATCTTTCTCTCAGTACCTCCTCCCTCCATCTTTCTCCCAGTACCCCTCTCCCATCTTTCTCCCAGTACCCCTCCCCCATCTTTCTCCCAGTACCCCTCTCCTATCTTTCTCCCAGTACCCCTCCCCCACCTTTCTCCCAGTACCCCTCCCCCATCTTTCTCCCAGTACTCACCCCTGCTCAGTGGGAATCCTCCGCATGGGATCAGGCTGCAGACTGTTCCTACTCAGCCCTTTCTTTTGCCCTTGCTATTCTGCTGGGGACCTTCAGGTGGTGACCTGAAGAAAAATGGCCGTTTCTACCCAAAGTTTCTTGTGTGAGGGACCCTGAGAGGGAAGAGGTGAGGTGTGAGGTGCAGAGACAACCCGTGTGGGATGTAAATAATGGACATTTTGAAGATTAGTTTTTCACTTTTCCAAGTGAAAAAGAACTTTCCTACATGTGTCTCATATGTATGGTGTCCGAGAAATACCACCAGGTGGGCTTCCACTGTATTTTCACCAAATCAAAGTAAAAATACCAATCCCTCCTCTCTGCACAGCGCCAGGTGTTGTCAGTTTTGTGTGCATCCTCCCAGAGCGCCCCCTTGGCACGTATGGCTCTATGTACAGGTTCAGACACCTGAGGAACGGTGGGTTTAGGGAAGTAAGTTTCTGTTTAGAAACCTTTGAGTTCTTCTTAGAATTTGACCAATATTTTCTTAGCCACATCATGCTGTGTTTCATATTTTAGTAATGGCAGTTGTGGGTTACTCTTGTAAATAGGTTTTAATGGCTGTAAAAAGGCAACCTTATAACATGTTTTCTACTCAGGATGGTACACGGTGCAGCTGAAGTGTCTCAAGAAGAGAAATGTATTAAGAACTCTTTGCATAATTTTAAGAAGTAGCAGGAGCACTCATGTAGGCGTTTATAAGGACATTTGGTACAGAAGACTGAAGTAAACACAAGTTAGTTTTAGTGTATCTCAGTGTTCCCAAAGAAAGGTGAGGTTCGGGTGGGGAAGGAGAAGCACATTCCTTAGCCTTGATTGGTTTGGGTATCAAAGAAAGACATATTTTCTTTGAGTGTTAGACTACCAGCTTCCACCTCTAGTCCTAAATGTGTAATAGGTTGTTTAAAGGTGAGGGTTTTTTGGGAGTGGGGTCAGGTGTGTGTGGGGGGAATGGTTCCTATGTATCTCAGGCTAATCCCTAGGATGACTTTGAACTCCCAGTTGTCAGGCCCCACTTGCTCTGTGAAAGTAGAGAAAAACAAAGGTTATACAGTGGGCCTGCTTAAGAGCGTATTTGATGTCATTGCCAGATAGAGACGAAAAAAGATGGAGAAGGCAGTGGTTGCTTTGAACCTCTGCCTACATGAGATGTAGCCATTTTCAGATTTGTAATTTCCTTATTGTGAACAGCTACAGGTGTGTGTGTGTGTGTGTGTGTGTTTAAATACACTCTAAGCCAAATTAGAAAAAAAAAGATAATTTTTATGCCTTTTAGATTTATAATTTTCAAATTGCTAATCCTGGCAGATGGTATCGGGCACCTTTTAAAAGGCCAGTGAGGCATAAGCACAGGTCTGCCTGCCTTGGTAGACTCCCTGGGACTGTCAGCCTAAGTGACCAGCTGGCACTGTGTCAGCCTGCATTCCTCCTGTCTATGTAGGCATCATCTTTTACCTAGAAGGATATTTGCTGTTAGCAGTTTGGGGCCAGAAAAGAAAGACAAGAGCAACACCGTATTAAATAAGCATACCCAGAGAAAGGATAGAGGAAGGGGTTAGGGATGGATGATGGATGATAGGTGGATGGGTGGATGATGGATAGACAATGGATGAATGGATGGATGGATCACAGTGAATGCATGGATGATGGATAGATGATGGATGGATGGATGATGGATGGATGCATTGATGATGGATAGATGATGGATGGATGGATGATGGATGGATGCATTGATGATGGATAGATGATGGATGGATGATGGATGGATGCATTGATGATGGATAGATGCTGGATGGACGGATGGATGGAAGGATGACGGATGGATGGATGATGAATGGATTGACTGGGAAGTAATTTCTTGCCTTAACTAACTATGATACAGGAAATACTTTCAAAATCAACTTATTTTAAATGTCATGAGAGGAGCACGATGAAACAGGGCGGCACCAGATAGTAGCATTGTGGTGGGAACTGCCACGTGTCAGAGTGTGTGTGGACATCAGTATTAACTCATGAATGGGGGAAAAAAGTGGACATGAATCAAGAATAGGTCAGATAACAAAAATGGGTATCCAGTTCCACTGTAGATGTCAGGAAGGTGGATGACAGGGGAGTGGAAAGTAAGGTGCGCTCTCCTTACGTAGTTTCCACACCCTCAGAAGAATGAGGCTAAGTGATAGGAATGGAGAAGTCATGCAGGCGGCTGTAGGAACACGGGGAGAGGATGATCTGCTTTGAGATACACGTTAGTTTCATCTAACAGAAGTGAACAGGCACACTCTCACTAGAGAGCACTTCCTTGTGTGCAGTATCCATTACACTGGGCCACCACCACAGCTAACCTGACTTTTCTGAGGTGTTTTCAAGGCCCAGCCTGAATGACATTTTCAAAAGCATTCTAAGAGAATGGTCCAATAAACCTAGGCTTTTGAACACTTTGCTGTGTATGAGTCTCCTCGAAGCCGGTGGAGCTCAAAGCGTTTGAAGGCAGGGTGTCTGAGGTTGGCAAAGGACAGGCAGGTCAAGAGTGTCATCCTCCCCTTGCTTCCTAGCAGACGTACCGAAAGAACGTCCAGCAGATGATGCAGTGTCTCATCCGAAAACTCGCCGCCCTCAGCCAGTACGAGGAAGTCCTGGCGAAACTCAGCTCCACAGCCACTGACCGGCTCACGGTCCTGAAGACCAAGCCCCAGTCCATACAGCGCGACATCATGACGGTCTGCAGCGACCCTTACACGTTGGCCCAGCAGCTGACTCACATCGAGCTGGTAAGGCCCTATCTTCTTTGCCCTTTGTGGCCCCAGAATTGTTTGTTTTGGCAACGAGACTGTTTGCTGCTAAAGGTCAGAATAACTCAAAAGGGAAGCAATCCACAAAACTGAAGCGTGTTTTGTTTTTGGCATTTGAATATGGATGTTTCTGATATCCTGGGAATTTACTCATAAACACATACTAAACAAGATGAGGGAAAGCAAGGTTTATTGACCTTCTTTATCTTCTGCCTCTAATTATTTTCCTATAACTGTTCATTCTTCTGCTGTCTTATGAAACATCTCCTTTCACCTCTTGAAGATGAAGGAAGTATTTAGGGCTAAAAGCTTATTTTATAAATCTAAGAAATTTGGGGGTGCTGCCAAGATTAATAAGGGGAAATGTGGCCATCTGTTCTTTCTCATTTTCTTTAATATTGTTTATTTAATATTGTTGGCTTTTGTTTCAGGAGAGGCTCAATTACATTGGTCCAGAAGAATTTGTTCAGGCATTCGTGCAGAAGGACCCCTTGGACAACGATAAGGTAATTCGTATCAAGTTGTTTGTTTTTGTGTTTTCCATTAGCTGTGTGTGATTCACTGTTGTTTTCTTGGGCTGGGTCTCTAAGTGCCTGGACAATAGTTTATCCCATCACTTCCTCCTTACTTGGGAATTTAAGAAGTCCTTCCTGGCAAGGCCCAAGTGTTTGTGGTGCTGAAGGTAGACGATAAAAGCATATAATGGCTTTAGCAGATTAAGCCAGAAAGAAAATCAAAGAGACTAGTCTGCCTGTGATTCAGCAGCAGGGGCAGGAGACAGGATGTACATTCAGCCTGCCCAGCAGAGCTCCAGTTAGCCTGGTCCCTTGCTGTAAGTGAATCCCTCACGACAGCGTTATGGCAAAGTACACACAGAAAGAACATGGTCCTGGACCGTCACTATCCATTTCATGAACACATGCACAGGATTTTTTTTCTTTCTAGAGTGACCTCTAGAAGCATTTTGGATTGTTAGGCCATCTGCGGCTGCTTCGCCTACTGCTGAAGTCTCTCGGGGAGACAAGGCCACAGCTGTTTCCGGCCTTAGACTAGTTTCACTCAGCATGGGAAGTGAAGACATGATTTTCAGTAGGAGGCCAGTGGACTTTTTTTGTTTGTGTCTTCTGAAAGGAAGGAAAGAGGGATTAATGAACCTCTTCAAGCGTGGCCTTGAACTCCAAGATATGATGAGCTTCTGCTTTTGAACAGTGTGCCGAGCACCCTACACAAGATAGTAATAGCGTAGAATTCCTTTTATCTTTGGGTAAATGGTGCTCCATCTTGTCTCCCATCTAAATGTGAGAGAGGGTTTCTAGCCTCCTTGCTGTGTTGATAGCAATTGGCATTTGCATCCTGTTTGAGCCTGCAACCCTTGTTCTAGTGACATCTCTATTGCTGTGATATAGTATCCAGACAGTAAGTAACTTAGGGAGAAGGGGCTTATTTACCTCACACTTCCAGATTCCAGAACACTACAGAGGGGAAATCAAGGTTGGAATTCAAGCAGCTAGTCATACCACACAGTCAAGAGCAGAGAGATTAGCCACCATTTAAGGAGAGGTTTTATGCCCTTATTTATTCCTTGGATGAAGAGAGAGTAACATCTTTGCTTTTTCTAAAAAAAAAAAAAAAAAAAAAATATGGCAACAAGTTCCTCAAAAATAAGACTTTTATCTTTAAAGGAAAAAAATGGAGTAGAAAGAAGTTAAGTACAGCCCCGCCTGTGTCCTTCCTCGCCTCCTTTGCTGTGCCCAGCAGCTTTCACTCTCCAGCACCCCTGCCTCGAGAAAATGGTGCCACCCTCAGTGGGCTGGGCTGTGTTTCCTTCATCCATTAACAATCAAGACAGTCTCCCACACACTGGCAGGCCAGCCAGATCTAGATAATTCCCCACTAAGAGTCTCTTCCGTCTGATTCTTGCTTGTGGCAAGCTGGGGGTTAAAACGAACCAGCAAATTTTTCTTCGGAGCTGAGGGTCTGAGAGAACTCATGACCCCAGAGGAACATAGTTTCTCGGGAGGGAGAGGAAGGCGCTTCTGTGAGCGCATCAGCGTGTATTCCAGACCTCATCTGCCCGTATTGCTCTCCACAGACTTGCTACAGTGAGCGGAAGAAAACGAGAAACTTGGAAGCTTACGTAGAGTGGTTCAATCGCCTAAGCTACTTGGTCGCTACAGAAATCTGCATGGTGAGACCGTGCGTTTTTTCCCTGCTTGCTTCCGAGCTGTTGGGCCCACGTACTGGGTTCCTGTCCGCTCACTGTCGTCATTTTCCTTACAGCCCGTGAAGAAGAAACACAGAGCGAGAATGATCGAATACTTCATCGACGTGGCTCGAGAGTGCTTCAACATCGGAAACTTCAATTCCTTGATGGCAATAATCTGTGAGTATTTTTGTGAGAACACTGGTTTTATGGGGCTTTTAAAATGTATCCATTGAAAAATTTCTTTCCAGAGAAACTCTGTCCTGAAGAAAACAAAAACAAAAAAGGAAGGAGGAAAGAAAAGGAAGTCTTTTTTTTTTTTTTCTTGAAAACTGTGTTTTTTTAAATCTGGAGTAATTCAGAGCATTCAGAATGTTTTATGGGACCAAATTGGTGCAAGGATGCATATTCTTTCCTTAGTAAGCTTGAATTCATTGAATAGCTTTTGTTCATTTATCCTCCGTTAAATATCTATCTGTACAAGCTAATGAATGAGGGAACCCAGACCCAGAGAGACAATTATCACATGTACTCACTCATAGATGGTTTTTAAACATAAAGCAAAGAAAACCAGCCCACAAATCACAATCCCAGAGAACCTAGACAACAATGAGGACCCTAAGAGAAACATACATAGATCTAATCTACATGGGAAGTAGAAAAAGACAAGATCTCTTGAGTAAATTGGGAGCATGGGGACCTTGGGGGAGGATCGAAGGGGGGAGGGGAGAGGCAAGGAGGGGAGCAGAGAAAAATGCAGAGCTCAATAAAAATCAATAATAAAAAAGTCTATGTTTGTCACTTGCTCCAGCTAAATGCTGGAGTTAAGTGAGTACAGCATCAGTCAGCAGCAGTCAACTTTCGTATTAAGAGGAACAGGTCATCAAAGGACAACATGTCTTGTTTCATTTACTTAACTAGAGTTCTCATTTTTTTAAGTGATTGAGAAAAATGGGAAAAAAAAAGAATTTCTAACATAAAAATATAGTCTAAATTCAAACTTCAACATCTAGTCAGGTATGAAGTCTTCCGCCTTTCATCCTAACACGTAGGAGATGAAGGAGGAGGGTCTGGAATTCAATTCTTGACTTCAAAGCCAAGTCCAGCCAGTCTGAGCCACTTGAGACCCTACGTCAGCAAAGCATAAGCCCTGGCATCTATGCGTAAAGTGTGGATGGACGGCAGCCATGGCCGGTTGTTTCCGAGTTTCTGTGGCTGCTCACGTGGTACAACTTGGCAGTGTCGTGTCCCACATATGGCCTGCGTACCCTAAAATGTTTACTGTTTTTTTTTCCCTAAAAATGTGCTCAGCCCTAGCTGAGGATGAGCTTGCAAGGAAATGGTGTAAAACTCGAGGCTGTTACCACACGTGCAGAACTCAGTTATTAATGCTTAGTGACGTATGCTTTTTTGGAGTCCAACTGGAGCGACTTCTTACATTTCTATTTTGATTTTCTTCTCTCCATGTGCATTTTAAACGGGAAGCTGGTATGAACATGAGCCCAGTCTCGAGACTAAAAAAAACTTGGGCCAAAGTGAAGACTGCCAAGTTTGACATTCTTGAGGTATGCGAAAGTCATGTTTCAGGGCTGAATGGAGAGAGCGTGCCTGTGATCTCAGCATTCAGGAGGCTGAGGCAGGAGGATTTTGAGTTTCAGGGCAGCCTGGGCAGAACAGCAAAGCACCACTCTGTGGTGCTGCCTCTTGATTAGGTAGGACTATCAAAGGAAGAGACTTTCAGACCCAGAGTTAGGAGAGGGATCTGGCTGGAATAGGGCAACACAAACTGGGTTTAAGGTTGATCCTTTTATAAATAGAGGTGGGCATTTTGGAGTGATTGATGGAAGATGCTGATTTCCCAATCACATGATTGTGTATGCCAGAATAGACCCAGAATCCCGAACAGCAGAGAGGTCAACATCCCAGTTTGCCTTGCACACTTCTGTGTAGCATCCTTAGCCTTAGAATAGTTATTCACCACTGTGCATATTTGGTTAACACCAACAGCCCTTCCTGTATAACCCTGAGGGGTTGTGTGTGTGTGGAGTGTGTGTGATGGGTAAATCACACCTCTATGAATTCCCTAACTAACTTTGAATTTGCATGTATAGTTAAAGACATGATCTTGTAAACATCTACAGTAAAGAATGAGTGGTTAGTAACATTGCCTTTCTACAGCACCAGATGGACCCTTCAAGCAATTTCTATAACTACAGAACGGCTCTCCGAGGAGCAGCGCAAAGGTCCCTAACTGCTCACAGCAGCAGAGAGAAGGTATGCTCTGAAAAGTGTGGATTACTTGTTGGGGAGTTGCCGTGTTTTACACTGACATGTGAACCACTCTCCCTGGGGCTGTGGTTTTTTTTTTTTTTTTTTTTTGCCAGCTCAGATCTAAGAGGAGTCCATTTATACACATCGTATTCCTTGGCACACTTGGCACACGAGGAAGGCGACCATAGAGTAGTGTTGAGCTGTGGACAAAGAGGAGTGGCTTGGAATCCAATTTTGCAATTGGATATTGCGATATGACTTGCATTATTGTGCTTTTGGTGTGTTCTGGAGTGTCTTCTTTGTGTTTAAGACAGTGAACTAAGTCATGTGACAGGTGACTAATAGCGTTAGAGAGTAATTTGGTTTAATGGGGAGAAGACATTTAAGTTCTGCATAAAGGAGCTCATGTAATGTGACCTTTTCTTTCAGAAGAATTCGCGTACCTCCTACAGTTCAGTAATGTATTCTCAGAAAGCAGGGCAGTTGCTCTAACATTAGGCTTGCTGCTACTAATTGGATATGTAGGTGGCATGAAAAATACAGGGGCAATTTCTAAAAAAAAAAAAAAAAAAGAATGCTCCTGTTGTCTGTTTCCATTAGTGCCACCCTGGATCTATGGAGTTCTGGATTCTGTTGGTCCCACTGGTCCATTTCTGTCTCAGTTCCGCGTGGAGGAAGGACAGATTGTCTGTCTTGCTGTTTGAGAATTAATGTCCAATTATGACAAACAGCTAATGCTGATTTCTTAGTGGCAGCTGTTGTCTATTTGAATTCTGTCCCCGCATTAAGTAGTATTTTCAACCGGCTTGGGAAAACAGGATTAAAACATTCCCCGGCTTCGAAGTCACGTCCCCCCTGAATCATCAGGCTCAAGAACTGTGATGAAATCTCCTTTTAAACATGTGACATTTCTGTCACCACACGTGAAATACTGGCTCTGGTGACTTCTGAGAAACACTGCCAATGTATTCACTTTGATTTTTAGATGAGGAAATGTCCAGGTGCCTGAGAGTTTGCTAGGGTTTCTATTTTGCTGAAACGACCTAATCGGAAGTGGGTCGATTTTCTGAAGATGAACACATGTGTGGGAGGACCTCCACATCCTGAAGTGAAGGATGCAGGGAGGCTGTGAGACCACGCCCCATCTCCCTGTGGTGGATACCCGGCTCACACACGGCCCTCAGTGAGCGGTGGGAGGAGGCTGTGGAGTCTGTCTGAGGACTGCTGCTCCGTTGTCAGCCACCAAGAGTGGTCCCTTGTGCAACCCTAACAGTTGTTCCCAGAAAAGAAAACAAACCTAGTTATTTACAGTTTATGCCACTTAGTAAATTCTTCCTGCTTTGCTTTTAAAAGCCAGTTCTGCATAAATTTGTAGATTTTACCTTGTAGCTGATAAAAAAAAAAAACCAAGCAAGCTGATAGAAAAATAATAAGAACATGTCCAGCTAAATCTATCCTTCATTAAACATTGAGGTTATTTTTCTTATTTTGAGCTGAGGGATTCCTTTCTTTATTCCAAAGCAACGTCTCCTTTTACAGTCTCCTGGGCAGCATATCTTGAGTCATGGTCTTTGATCTTTTTCAAATCTCCAGTTTGTGTGGGCAGGGAGGAACGTTCCAGGTGCTTATTATGAAGCCAATCAAATCTTTCTTCCACACAGGAGTGCTGAGGTGCTTTCTGAGTAGTCTCCCTTCATGCAAGTGCTTGTGGCTCTGGGTTTTTAACCATGCCTCATGTGATTAGGTGGTTTTCCATCCCTTTGCTATTCTGTTTGTTTCTGTAGACTTGGCCCTCCTCATTAGCATCTCCTTCTAGACATGGAACTGATAATACCTTCAAGTACAAAGGCTGACTCTGAATTACGGTGCTAAGGAGTGAACCCAGGGTTTTACTCCTACCAGGGAGCACTCTGCTATTCAACTATACTGTATGTCCAGCCATCATTTCACTGTTTTGTTTTTGAGAAGAATCCCAGACAGGTCTTCAGCCTGTAATTCTCCAGCCTAGCCTCCCTGGTAGCTGAAATTACCAGCCCCAAATGAATTCAGAATGGATGTATGTATTCTACGTGTATGTCCATGAGTGCTCTGTCTGTATGCATGTCTGCACTTTAGAAAAGGGCATCAGGTCCCACTACAGATGGTTGTGAGCCACCATGTGGTTGCTAGGTATTTAATGAACTCAGGACCTCTAGAAAAGCAGCCGGTGCTCTTTACTGCTGAGCCAGCTCTCCAGCCCCAGGATTCAGAATATTATTTAAGGGAAAATTGACAGTGTAGCTCAGTTGGTAGAGTCTTTGTCTAGGATGCACAAAAACAGTAGAGTTCAGTCACCACACAAAACCACACGAGGTGGTCCATGCCTGAAATCCCAGCACTCAGTAGAATTAGAGGAGTTCAAGGTTATCCTTGGCTATATAGTAAGTCTTCAGGCCAGTCAGGAATATACAACCCTACCATATATATAATAGTTTATATATGCCTACTTGAGCAATTTGCCCAGTAATAATATTGGCAAGACCTAATAGAAACAAGACTTGTTCTCTATACTTATAACAATCCTGAGTTATTATTTTCTTCTCCTCTTCACTGTTCAATTGGTTGTGCAGAGCTGGTGGGGACTAACATGAGTGAAGGAGGAAATGAAGTTTGAGATTCCCTCCTTCTCATGGGCACGAGACACAGCAGTCGAGTGCCCCATGGGAGGCTGGCTGTGTTGCCTAGTTCCTGGAAGAATAACTCTGTTGGTGGTAGAGCATCATGCAGGAACACTGACTGAGGGCAAAATTCATAGAAGGAACCATTCTGCCTCCTGCAGTTTATAGGCTGTGACAGGAACTGAGTGAGTCTAAGTACCGATCGAAGACAGTACCTGAGGCTCACAGTCCAGCCCCAAGAACTGGAGTAGCCCAGGAACTTCTTGCTTCGAAGCTGCTGCCCTGTCAACTACTACCCCTTGATTTTCATTGTCTCCATTTCCCTGAGGCTATCCCGGGATGATGGGTGTTTATTGCCTTCTAAGAGTAACTCTACTTGGATAGTAGCGGAAAGCCAGTGTCTAGATGAATGAGCATGGTCATCCTCCAGAGAAATCCTGTGGTCACTGTCATTGAAATTTCACATGATTTTTCATATACCCTGAAGCCATTATTTTTTTTGAGGCCCTCCCCCAGTGACTTAAAAATGTAAGGCATGTGTCTCCTAGGCCATACCAGAAATAACAACACATACATTTAAAACAGAATAAAACCTACAAACAAAAACCTTGCATTTTGCCAGTCCCTGGCTTTTATTACTAGCCAGTTGTAGAGCCAGTGTCTTAGGTGCTGCCGGTTGGAGTCCATAGCCCAGCACCTCCCAGCCTTGGAAGAGGCGGAGTTCAGATCTGTCTTGCTCTTAGTTCCAGCCCTGTGCCCATAATATCAGAGGGGAAGGAAGTACACACACTCCCTGTTAATTCTGCTTTAGGGACTCCACAGACAATAACAAATACTATGTAGTCAAGGGTACTAGTAAAGTTGAGGATAAATTTGATTATTCTTAGAGATCAATGAAACGAAAATTTGAAAGGTGTTTTAGCCTTTTGAAAATGACTTCAGGGAGGAAACAGTCAGAATTTTTCTCTAGAAGTGGATTGTTGCTTACTGTTTGTGTGTGAGCCAAAACTTCGTTTTCATACTCATGAGTCATGAGCTTAGGAAACTTCAAAGACCTGATCTTGGGGTTTTCAGAATTTCCCAAATAATCTGTTTGATGCATTATTTACATTGCAAAACTTTTTGATTCAAATATGTTGCCTTTGAGGGGAAAAAATAAAAGTTACCGTATCTGCACTTTGATCTCTGTTTGTGATGGACGCGGTCAGACTTAGGGCCCCTTTAAAGGTTGCTCCTGTAGGCTAAAACCAAGGAATCAGGGCCAGAAGGTATCATCAGAGACGCATACTGTCCTCTGGACAGTCTTTAATTTTATTTCCTACATTTTTCTCCCTCCCTTTCTTGAGGAGCATCTGTCTTGCCGCAGACAGTGCCAGGTCCTCCCAAGGGGTTTTTCCTAGACAGCAGGCACAGACTTGTTCTCTGACATGGCCAGGTTCCTTCAACAGGAAATTGTAGCAACTGTTGCTTAAAACCTTCAGCTGTCACATTATCTTGAGCAAAGGCTTCAAGGATAAAACAGAAAGAAAACGTCAACTAAACTGTAGATGTCTAAGTGGTGATGGAGCGTTCTGGAGCACAACCAGGAGATAGGCCATGTGCCTTTGGGGCTTTGCAAGAATCAGGGGGTCACTAAATGAATAGCGTCCTTTTATATACTTTCATTTTGGTCAGAACCTTTCGATTTTATCAAGTTAAACATTGAAGAAAATCGGAAAGACTGTACAGAAAGTATCCATCCACTTACCAATAGTGCTAGTCCCTACTGTGCTTGGGTCTTGATGACACTTGCATCTTGGGCTATGCCGTGTAAGGTAGCAAGTGTTGTCTTGCGGAGTGCAGTGTACCCTTGTTCATTGTGGCCTCCCACGTAATCCAAATCCACATTGTTCCTTAATCGCTTCTGTCTGTAACAAGAGGTTAAATGTCTTATTTACCGAGGCAACCCTGAATCTGTTTCTTTCTAGATTGTGATACCATTCTTCAGTCTCTTAATCAAAGATATTTATTTCCTCAATGAGGGCTGTGCCAACCGTCTTCCAAATGGCCATGTCAACTTTGAGGTGAGTGTAATGAAGTAGGGTACGACTATCTAGAGGAGGGATCAGGGAGGGATAGTGGTACAGGCTCGCAATCTCAACATTTATGAAGCAGAAGCAGAAGGATTACCAGCACAAGTCTGAGGCCAATTTGATCTTCATAGTGAATTTCAGGCCTTCTAGTATTACATAGTGAGAGCCTGTCTCAAAAACCTAAAAATATTAAAATTAAAGCCAGAGCATAGGAGTGGGAGTGGGTTGTTTCTAAGTGTCCCAGCCAGCAGCAAGGCAGAGCCACAGCTTGGAACAAGCTTGCTATTCCCCTACTGCCTGTGAGAAATGAACACCACCAAGTAGCTTAGTAACCATGTCACCCATCAGTGCTGTCCCCTGAGGGAACGTGACTAGATCTCACCCTCCCTACTTAGCAAATATAGTGTTAATTAAGTAAAGAAGAGTCGATCCCGAAGTTCCAAAACTGGGTACATTGCAAATGGAGTTGTGTCTTGCAAGCCCATTCATTCTTGACAATTGCCCTACAATTCTTTAATTTTCTTTCAGAAATTTTGGGAACTGGCCAAACAAGTGAGCGAGTTCATGACGTGGAAGCAGGTGGAGTGTCCGTTTGAGCATGACCGGAAGGTTCTACAGTACCTGCTCTCAGTGCCTGTGTTCAGTGAAGACGGTGAGGCCTTTAGGGTATCCCTGCCCTGAACACCCCCAGTCCTGTCTATAAATGTCTCTACTTGGTTGGCTCTCACGTCCGAAACCAGGCCTCTGAGCTGATCCACCCTTTTCTTTCTTGCAATTTACCCCTAAAATGTTTTTAATCAGCCAAACACAATGCATTTAAGCATCCTTCCTAATGCCTGTTCTGCAGTGATGAGCTTAAGTAGAAAGCTATTAAAGAATATTTCAGAAAGCTATGGGAAGCCTTGACTGTGAAAGCATTGGGCAGTGGGGGCAGGAAAAAAGGATTGCTTCTGCATAGGAAGATTCACCAATCGAGTCTTCTGCAGAAGACCCGAGAACTTATTCTGCTGGACTGTTGTACCCTCATAGTGTGTTGATGGTGTCTGCCCAGCCGCCATTTTGAATTCCTGTTGCCTGTTTTGGGGCGGGGGCGGGAACTTGATTGTTTTCATCTCTATAAGTAAGATCAATACAGTTTTGAGATGTTGCTCTTTCTGATTTAAACAACATGCACGTGGCCTTTATTAAAGTTCTGAGGCTCCAGGAAAGAGCCATGACCCTTTCCTTTGTAAGGAATAAAATAAACCTGAGAACTTCAACAGCACTGTATGGCTTGCATTTTCAAAGTTTTCTGCCTCATAAATTCTTGGGTGATGAAGTACTTTTTCAGTTTAGAGCCCTGGGGTTTTGTCGAGATGGCCAATCAGAAGCCGAGGTTTTGTTGAAGTGGCCAATCAGAAGCAGGTTTTGCTGGCCAATGAGAAGTGCTGTTCGTTTTGTGTTTTTCCAGCATATTTGAAGGGTGTTCTGGAAGTCAGGCTTAAGGCAAGCAGGTCCTCCTAGCCGTGGGGTCAGGTATCAGAAGGCTTCACTCACACCGTACTCTTCTTTCCTTTGGTTGATTGTAGCTCTCTACCTGGCGTCCTATGAGAGCGAAGGCCCTGAAAATAACATAGAGAAGGACAGATGGAAGTCTTTAAGGTGAGTCTCAGTGCTTCTTGTACTGGTCTGCAGGCAGTGTCAATGTCCCCGCAGGAATGCCATGTATGTGCCTTGTGGGCGGGCCCTGCCTACCTCGTCTTGTTGGCGGAGTCTTAGCTTCAGTTCAGAGAATCTCTGTGGCCTGGGATTCTCATTGCCATCACTCGGTTTTATTGGCTTTCTTTCTTTTTTTTTTCTTGCACTGGCAGCTAATACCATGACTTCAGTTTTCCCCCTATTATGTAATAGAATGTGAAACTGAGATTACCCCATAGTATAGTAAAATAAACAAATTTTAAAATACCATTTTTCTATCTTTGTATGTCCAGACTTTATTGTTGACTAGTTAGTTCTAATCTTAAAACTCTATTTGGGTGAAACAACAACAAAAATGCTGGTTAAAATTAAGGTCAGTTGAAGGTAGGGTATCATTTAACAGTCGGTTACCAGCCAGATACCAGCTCCTATGTGTGTGTATGTGAATTTGAAGAAGTAGACAGATCAGCTCTGCAACTCAGTATCTGAATTACAGATATATTTTAAAAACTAAAACCTACCCAAAATTCTTTTATTTTACCCATAATTCTGTTATATATGAATAAATTAATAACAACTGGCAATCAGTCGTTAGGTTGCAGATAGAAGGCTTGACAGGAAAGAATGAATTGCACGCTCTCCCCATGGCTCTGTATACTCTACACACAGTATATGGTAACCAAAAAACTTGACGTAACCAAAGACTTCAGTGGGTGAAACCGAACATGTGTGGTGAGAGAGCCGTGTGCCAGCTGAATTCAGGCATGGATGTGGGGATCTCTTTACAGTTGTATAAATTCAGAAATGTTCAGCAATAATGTTTATCTGGTCCGAATGATTTTGAGGATTGCACGCCAGGCGTGTTGACATACGCCTAGAATCTTAGCTCTTGGGAGGCTGGGGTAATAGAATTGCGAGTTTGAGGCTAGCCTGGCCTACAGAGTGACTTTGCAGCCAGCCTGGGTTATAATGCACATCCGCATCACCAGAATGACGCTGGGACATTGCAGGTGCTGGCTGGCCAAAGCCTAGCAACCATAGAAAGGATAAAAATGTCAGTAAACTCTTTAGAATGGCAGTTCCTGCCTGAAACCTCATGCACCCGTTAGCTTTGAAGCAGTGAGCTGCTGTCCATAGATGCTTTTCCTGCTGTTCCTACGTTCAGAACACCAGTGCAGACTTGAGCCCCCAGCTGAGGACAGACACCTACCTTATCACCTACTGTTTCCCTTCCGTGATCGTAGAAAACACGGTGGAAGTTGCCTTTATCCTACTAAGTAAACTGCGCTGGCAAGTTTTATGTCAGTTTGACACAAACTAGAATAATTTTGGAAGAGGAAACTTAATTGAGAAAATGCCCCCACCTGCTTCGCCTGTGAGGCGGTCTCTTAATTGATGACTGACAGGAGAAGGCCAGCCCATTGTGGGCGGAGCCAGCCATGGACTGGTGGTCCTGAGTGCAAGCCATCAGGAGTCAACCTGTAAGCAACACTTACTTCTCTGTTGCCTCTGGTTCGAAGTCTGACCTCTAGGTGCCTGCCCTGACTTCCTTTGACGATGCCCTGTGATATGGAAGGTGTCAGCCAAATAAACCCTTTCTTCCCAGGATGCTTCCGATCCTTGTGTTTTATCACAGCAACTGAAGCCTAAGGCATAAGCCTGGCTATCAGGCACGTTTGTTATCATTAATGGTGTTCACCTTTTGTTTTAATATCAAACCACTCAAGATAGAGATTTACTGTAAGCAGTGCTTTGGCTGTCTCCATTAATAACTGTTTAAGGGTGTGGCAGTTTTCCTGCAGGACTACTAAGACTCCAGACCTTGATTTCCACCCATCGTTTCACTATGTGAAAAGACATTGAAAATATAGGAGAGATGAGCATTAACCAAGGCGATCTGAGCCAATACAAGTATTCTCTGCCTTCTGCCTTACAGGTCCAGCCTGCTGGGCAGAGTTTAACATATGGGACCTGCTGTTGCTGTTGTTGTTGCTGCTGCTGCATCAAACAGACCCTGGAGGGCCTGGCCTTTGTTTTCTGGCATCTAGTACTAGGAACAATCAGTGCAGACCCTGTAAGCAAGCCCAACTGCAGACAGATGGAGAACTCATTTCCTACGGCCGACAGACGCACTCAGAGCGTGGAGCCCGCAGTGCTCATTGAAGACACTTGAGAAAGAATCCTCTAAAAGTCCCGGCTCTGCCCATGATTCATCTCCTGGAATTTCCACGTGAATCACAGCTCTGCACCTGGATGGAGTTTTCTTTTGTGTGTGTGTGTGTGGTTGGTTTTTTTTTTTTTTTTTTTTTTTTTTTTTTTTTTTTTTTTTTTTTTTTTTTTGGCTTGAACATTTGCTGCTAATGGAACTTACCCAGCCAAGTGCTGGCTCTATGGAAGTCCATGTTTCTTTGTTAATTTAAATGAAAAAGGGAGAGGAGGGAGGAGAACCCACACACACACCTCAGTTTGGATCCCAGACCTCTGCTTGAGCCAGAAGTGTCCTGGTGAGGATGAAGACTGGGTGGATGTCCGCTGCCCGGGGACCTTGTTCCCATAGCGTGTGCAGTGTGGTCAACGTCTCTTCCCCCTCTTCCCCAGAGGTTTTGAGTTGGCTGCTGGTTAGCACACTCCTCCTTGCCCATATAAGTTATTTAATATAATAATGAAGCGCAACACTGTGGTAGGAAAATAGCCACTAGGGAAACAGACAAACGAAGCAGAGTTTGGCCCGTTGGACTGCCCATCCTGCTGGAAGGACGGACGGTGTCTTCTTCACCCCTCTGAGCTGTTTACAACTGATCCCTGTGTTCTATAGATGTATTTTTCAGTAGTTTTTGTTTTTATTGTTACTTAGTTTCCCATAACGCCCCACCCCACCCCCGTAAATGTAAATGGTCTGACATTGAGGGTCTTGGGGGAAAAAAATCTATGACATAACCATACTTGTTTTTTAACTAACTTATTGTTCATTATTTTCTGGAGCCTGTTGGTGATTACACGTATAAATGAGGAGGAAATTGGAAAAGTGGCCTCCTCCCCCAGTGAACAAAGCTAATGAGAACCAGGTTGCTGGTAGCGCAATGGTCAATCTTACTGTGAACAAGTTCACCTTGTTAACATCTAATAGGCCTGTAGTTGCTCTGAAAGCAGCCCTCAGACATGCTCTAGGAGAAACTTTAGAGTAGTGAGCCTGGCTAATAAAAACGCACAATCCAAGTTCCAACCCCAGGCGTGTTCATTGACCTCTCTGATGCTGTTTTGAGAACCAGCACGCCTTGCGCATGCATTGTCTCAACAGGCCTGAACCAAGTCGTCCCTTGACAACGTCAATACATTTTTCACTCTGTGGCCAAGAGGTGTGGCGTCTTTCTTTGCGTTTTGGACAGAATTGTGGCTGGGTGGGCTTATAGCTAGAGGTTACCCCACTGGTTCAGAATGTGTGCACTCCCGAAGGAGAGTCTTAGGACTATGGGCATGGATGGGCATTTGTGCTCTGAAAAGAAACCCTAGCAAGCATGTTTCAGATACTTCTAAGGTGTTTAAGCACAGATTCTGCCACCGTCATTCCCACCCTTAGGTGCACAACAGGAAATGTGAATATTCTGATAAGTTGTCGAAGGCTGCAGAGCCAATGAGAGGCACAGGGTTACACTGGGCCTTTTAATCCAGAGCCAGGCTTTAACTCACCAGGGCTTCCCAGGCTTTTGTACCCTTGCAGATAGCTTGGGGAATCTTGTTTCCCTGAAGACTTTCAACCTGCATGACTGGCATGGGGCCTCTGTGATGCTGAGGCCCTGGATCCATTTTAGACTCCACGCATCCTGGTCTTAGATTTACATTGGTGGAAGTGACTGAGAATTACACAGGAGAGCCAGCACTGTTGAAAGAGATCTTAGATTTCTCAAAGAAGTGGACAGGACATAGCCATGAGGACCGGAGGGGAATCAGTAGGTGCAGGAGGCAGAGAAACAGAGGCCCTGCCTCATAGGAAGGCTTCTTTGGGAAAGGCATGCCAAGGCAAACATTAATCACTAATTCCTGGGGCCTGGGGTGGTCCTCGGGTGCCCTGAAATGATTAGGACAGGAGAAATGCCACATGGGAGTCAGGCGATGGAGAGGGCCAGTGGAACAGATTAGGAATTAGTCGGGGTGCGTCTGAAAGGTGTCCCCTGCACCTTCACTCTCTGCAGGCCTGTCTAGCTTTGGGAGGACTTGCCTCTCAACAGCCAGCCAGGTTCTTAGGATGCTAAAACATCTTACAGAAAACGTTAACGTGATGACTATACCTCTTCAATACTGTCCCATTCCCTTAGCGCTGTCTTCCCCTGGCCGCCATAACTGTAGCTGACAGTAGCAATGTTTATATTCCATCTGTCTATGGTCAGGGGTCGTCCCCTCTAGCCAGTTACTTGTTCTCGATGGCCTAGACAGGTAGCAGGTTGAAAAACTCAAAAAAGGGATTACATTTTATGCCGTATGGAAATGATGGGAACTTTATAAATTTCCTTGTCCATAAATAAAGCTTTAAGGGACCGTGGTCGTGCTCGCCACTTCCGTGTGTCTCTTGTGGTTGTTTCCCACTACCATCACAGTGTTACAGTTGGGGCAGAGACCAGATGGCTCCAAAGCCACGTGTTTACACTCTGTCCCCATATGGAAAGTGTACTTGATCTAAGTAGGTCTTTTCGTTCAAGTTTTCAAAACCGCTACCCTTGTGACATGAGATACCTAAATATGGCCTCTGATCTTATTTTTTTTTTTCTAATGCGGTCTTATGACTAGTGATTCTAAGGCAGTTTAAAGAGAAGGTTTCCCGTTTTGTTTTACTATTCGAGTGAGCCAGAGGTTTAAACCATGAGGAAACTTTCGTGGACTCTACTGAGTATTTCTCCCTTTTTGTGCCACGTGTGTGTGTGGCCTTCACAGGAGTTCAGTAGACACGTGTATGACCTGTATGGCTGGATGGAAGCCCACATACTGGCAAGCATGAACAGCACCAGGCTGCATCAGCAGTTGTGTTGAGGCATGCCTGCCACACATTCCAAACCTACAGGGCTTTGAGCTGGGGCCTGGCTGGGGTCTGACCGAAGATGTATGTGGGTAGATAACAGGAGAGTGTGTCCCTACTTGAAATAACCCCTTGCTTTTGAGGACCCAGCTCAGTGCGCCAGGAGGTGGCGCATGTCTAACAAAGATACTGTAATTAAACCTGTTGTCGCCTTTGTCTTGGAACTTGGGCTACTTCCAAGTCTACCCCCCTCCTAGCACCCTTTCTCTTCGTGCACATTTCTGCTTCTGCCCTGCTCCTTGTGTGAGGACTCCATCTGTAGACGGTCAGCTGCTCAGTTAGATATGGAGCTGGGGACTATGAGTGGCCTCCACCGTCCACGGGTGGTTTTTGTTTCACCCGTGATTCTCAATACAAAGCAACACGCGCCTCTCTAGTCTAAGGGTAGGAGAATGCCAGTCGGAGAATAAAGCGGTTTAGGGCAGTTTTCTGCTGCTGTAGCTGAGGGTTCAGAGGAGTTCCTGAATAAGAACGCGGTCAGTCGTGGACTTTATCCACCCTTCGGGGGGTTGAAAGGCAAAGCTTGTTTTGGTGTATGTGTGTGTGTGTGTGTGTGATTAGATGACTGAAAATTGCCTCTATTCTCTGCTTCCTGTAGTCAAGGTCACTTGCCTCTACTCAGTGCTGACAAGGATTTTAGGACTGAAGACTTCTGTCTCCAAGCCGTGTGGTTTAGAAACTCAAAGTTGCAGACTGCCTCGATGTGAACTAGAACAATACGCCAATTCTGTACTTAAGACCCAAGGTTTTTCAGAGGATTATTTACTCCTCGCTCCTTCCCTCCACCCTTCCCTTTTTCTCTCTCTTCCTCCCTCCCTCCCATTCACTTAATTCACTGAAGAAGTTCCCAGGCAGCTAATTCCCTTTTAGTATTAGTAGCCTCGTTCCTGCACTCAGCGAGCCTCTGTCCTCTCTCTAGGCCCTCGTGTTGTCAGTCCGTAGCATGAGGCAGCTGTCTCAGGGTCTCGTCACCTGTGTGAGCTGTTCACCTGTGTGAGCTGTCCCCCTCAGCACTGGTAGAGAAAAGTCTGGGGATCCCGAGGGAGCCGTTGGAGATGAGCCCCTCATGAGACACCCAACTTGCCGTCTACCTAAGCCAGGCTTTGCTTTCTTCCCCTTCCCACCCCACTGCTTGGGGGAAATGAAAGTGTGAAATCATTTGTCTCCTGATGAATCACTGTGGGAAAGTGAGTTTAGCAGAAGCGTTGTCAGTGCACCTGAGCCGACGTGGCTGGAGGACAGGCATCGCGTTTTGTTTCTTCTCAGGTGATTAGGACTTGTAAGTGCAGACGGCTGGCGATGAGGAGATAACGTCTGCTCGGTAAACATACTCAGGAGCAAGACGATTAGTAGCCTCGTTATCATCCAGGAGTCGCAGATTTCATATTCTTTAGATAAATAATTAGCATATCTGCGCTTGAGAAATTAAATAAATCAAAGCGACTCTGATATAACTATCGTGGGTAGCACTGCTTCTACAGAGACCAGCAAAGAAAATCCAAGTTAGTGTGTGTTTTTTTCACATTGTTAAGTTGGGTTTTTTCCTTCTAATTTTATTTAACTTTATTTTATGTGCATTGGTGTGAAGGTATCAAATCCCCTGCAACTGGAGTTACAGACAGTTGTGAGCTGCCACGTGGGTGCTGGGAAATGAACCTGGGTCCTCTGGAAGAACAGCCAGTGCTCTTAACTGCTGAGCCATCTCTCCAGCCCATAAATGGTTAAATTGTTAATCCTCCCCTATAGTCATTAGTAGATGACTTTAAGTCTGCCCTTAACAGTAATATAAAAATCCAGCAAAGGGACTGATATGACCTAGGGACATGGGATAAGTGTGGAACATCTCCTAGGAAAGCACCAGAGCAGGACTGGGGACTAATTAGTGACCTTCCTCCAGCCAGGTTTCTGGGTCTCTGGGGAAGTTCCCCCTCTCTGAACCTCAGGATCTTCTTTGTGAGTCATGGATCTGGACTATTGGAAGCAGAGTGTACTGTTGAGGGCCTAAGGTTTTTAGTATTAGACCCACTTTCTGGGCTTGCCCACCTAAAAGGAGAATTAGCAAGTAGATGCAGCTTTCTGTTTGTATACTGCTACCTTCTCCTCTACTTGACCCCTTTGTGTTTGTTTAAGTGTGTTTATAGAGGGAAAGGGAGAGAGGCTAATTGCTGTGACTGGGGTAGCAGACAAAGGCCTGGCAGACTCTCCCTTCACCCTCCAGCAGCATGCCTCAAAACAAGATAAGACTCTTCATAGAAAAGAGTGGTCTTTACCCAGCCCAGCAATTGAAAATGGGCTTATACAAGAGCCAATATAATAACTTCAAGATGCTAGACTGGGAAAGCCCAAGGACTCTGCAAATGACTCGGTTGTCACCTGTGCATCTTTGTCACAGCCGCTGTTAGAACGGTGCTTGCTAATCTAGATGTATAGGTGGGCATCCTAAAGTGCTTAGTCATTGACAAAAAGATCTAGAGAAGTGATGATCCCCATCCTGTCCTGAATTTGTTACCACCCTTGCGGGGACACGAGATGGTTTCCTTTGAAGGCTGTCCAGATGGAGATGCGGTGTTGAAAATGTCCTGTATGCTAGACAAAGTCCTATTATCTAAGGAAATCGGAAAGGGGACACACCATCCCTGGAGGATAAAGACCTTTCCTTGTGGGGAAGTACCCCGTGAATTGTAACCTAGCTAGGACTCAGTAACATAGGTGAAGGTGGAGAAAGACAAACCCGGTCCCCCAGATGGATGTGTAAGTACCAG